TTGTCTTTAATCAAATTTCTTGCTCCACGTTTTGCCAAAAACGACTTTGAGGACTATGAGACGTGTGAGCCATTTGTTTCGATATATAGTGGGGCTCTGAGCTGCGTTCTCCTGAGTCACGTCGTATCTACATGCGGCAGTCAATTGCCTTTAATCAAATTTCTTGCTCCACGTTTTGCCAAAAACGACTTTGAGGACTATGAGACGTATGAGCAGTTCGTTTCGATATACAGTGGATTCCGAGTTACGTCTTCTCGAGTTTCATCGTTTCTACATAACGCGGTAGTTAATTGTCTTTAATCAATATTTCTCGCTCCACGTTTTGCCAGAAACACCTGTGAGGACTATGAGAAGTGTTCAAAATTTCCGGGTGCAAGCCGTGTCCATTAGGAATTGTTTCCCGACGTTTCGCTAACATTGCAGCTGACATCGTCAGAGGGTTCGAGGACTCACTGATACTCAGTGTCCTCAAACTTAGCGAGTCTTCGAACCCCCTGATGATGCCAACTGCAACGCTAGCAAATCGTCGGGAACAATTCCTAATGGACACGGCTTGCACCCGGAAATTTTGAACACTTCTCATACTTCTCATAGTATCCCTGGCCGTGAGAGCCTGAAACAAATCGATCTGCGAGGACGTTTCTTACAGATAAAGAACGTATTTTAATGGCAATTAATCCTTTGCACTCGAAAGTTTTTCACTAGAAATATTCAATATTCTCCGATGAGATACAGACGATGTCGTTTGAAACTAATTAATGAGAAAACATATATAAATTAAGAAGGAAAGTTATTTCATTTCAATATTCCATATATTGATGCATCATACGTAGCTTAATATTATATATAAGACTTTATAATTTTGCAAATCAAATCAAGTGGTGACTGAGAGTCACCTCTCGAGTGCAAAGGGTTAACCTTTTGCACTAGAGATGACTCTCAGTCACCACTAGATTTGATATAGCAAAATTATAGTCTTATAGTACAATGCATCAAAATGCGAAATATTGAAATAAAATAGCTATGCTTCTTAATTTACGTATGTTTTCTCGTTTGTTAGTGTCCAAGGACGTCGTTTATATCTCATTGAGAAATATTGCACATTTCTAGGGAAAAACTGTTGAGTGCAAAAAGTTAAAGAATGCCATCCAATGCGTACCAGTATTATTCGTAAACATCATGATCTCTTCGATTCTTCGTGAACATTCGTTAAGTGTAATCTCTTCTAGTATTTTTATACATTTCAAAGAAAATAGATCTAATCTGAGAAATACACGTACAAATATGCATGTCGCGTACATGCATACATACTTGTCTGCTCTGTGTATCCAGAGTTACGTCTTCTCGACGTCGCCCACTCTAGAACCAATTAGAATGCAAGTCCGGGGCCTTACCGTAGCAAAATTATAAAGTCTTAGGTACACTCAGCTCTCAATTTACACGGCATTCGAATTGCACGATTTCCGTTACACGGCAATTGCATTTCACTTGAGCACGGTCAGATCAGAGAAATGCAAAGTTGCATTAATTTTGTTTTGTTTTGTGGATTACATATGCAATCTTGTTGGTTTCGTGAATTTTTGTGTAAAAACATGTGTATAATTTTTTATTTTACTAATAAATAATACCGCTTCATATGGATTTAAATTTATTAGTTAAATTTATTACATGCGTATTTGTTTTCGACGTGAATTGTGCATTCGAATTGTACGATTTGAATTTACACGACGTTTCCGGGGAACCAGTCTATTGTGTAAATCGAGAGTTATGTGTATACGATTAACACTAGAGCTACCGAATACTTACTACGATTAACAGGCGACGTTTATAAACATTGTAACAATAAATATTTCTTGGTTTCTTCAGGTATACGTTAGAGTATCCAGTGAAACTATTTGTTTTCAGAATTATTTTAGATATTTACTGCTATTGAAATATCAATAATTGATAAATAAGTAAATTAATAATCGTCACGTTGTAACAATAAATATTTTTTAGTCTCTTCAGATTTACGTTACAGTATTCAAGTGAATCTATTTGTTTTTAGAATTATTTTAGATATTTACTGCTAGTCAAATATTAATAATTGCTAAATAAGGAAATTAATAATCGTCACATTGTAACAATAAATATTTTTTAGTCTCTTCAGATTTACGTTACAGTATTCAAGTGAAACTCTTTGTTTTCCGAATTATTTTAAATATTTAGTATTATTCAAATATCAATAATTGCTAAATAAAGAAACTAATAATCATCATTTTGACGGTAGTCTAGTGTTAAACTTCATACAATACATCAGTATATCAAATATTCAAATAAAATACCTTCGCTCCCTAGTTTACGCGTGTTTATCAATTAGGTTCAAAGAATGTCGTTCATATTTGAAATATTCAATAAATCTAGAGAAAAACTTTCGAGTGCAAAGGGTTAACACTTTATCCACCGCTGGTGATCGAGACAACTACATGCTAGTTGACAATATTGTTCTCGACAAGTCGTAGGGGTGTGTCTTCACTTGCAAAACTCTGCAACTTTAAAATCAAGGTAAATATTTATAAAGAAGTCTAGTTACGTCGTTCTGACTTCTTTTGTTTTAGAGCAACGTCATTTTAAGAGATTATATATTGTTAAGCATTGACGATTCAGAAGACGGTTGACAGACTTGCGGTGGGCAAAGTGTTAAACGCGAAGTGCTGTTTCTTTTTCAGCGTAGGATCACCGAGGTCGCTAGAATCAAAGGGTTCTTGTAGAAAACTGTGAGTGCCAAAATCGACTTGTCTTTCTCTATTGTCCTTTAACACGTCCGCTACCATCGTCACATATTCGTGACGGGCGCAGTCTTATATTTTACATGAAGCAAATGAAATTAATCTTATAGATTTTATTATTTAAAGTTAGAAGCTACGGCCTTATATTTCGGAACTCAATAATTCTTTCCAGTTTCATTTTTTCGATATTCTGTTCAGAAGATTTATTGGATTAAATAAAATATCACAATTGAGGAGGTTCTTACCGAAATAAATGCTGGTAGCGAACGTGTTAACGGTTTGCGCTCCTATGTCGAATATGACTCTACAGTAGATTTATTCGAAAGTATCCTCTGAAATATTTTTTAATTGTATTATGTTGTTGTACAATTTTTAATAGTATTGGTAAAAAGAATTATTCGCGCTGTTTGTTATCAGCTAATTGCCTTTCGAAATACGTTTCAAGTAAAGCACTTAATGTAGTACAAAATTGTGAAAAAGTACGTGTGAAAGGAACTCGGAGTTCAAAAGGTTAACACTAGAAGTATCGTATCAGTCAAAATGACTGTTCGATCTTTTTGTTTCGATTTATTGATATCTGAATGATTGACATCTCAGAAGCATTGAATATTCTAAATGATCCTGAAAATAAATGGTTTCAGTTGAATGGTATAGTGAATGTCTGGAGAAATTGAAAATAATGTGTTGTTACAATTTTTATAGGGATTACATATTAATCGTATTAAATGCTTGGTAGTTCTAGTGTTAATTATGTGTCTAGTTTAATCATTTTTCCACAGTTGACTGTTCCCGTAATTATGTTATAATTATTTCACAATCAATGGAGGAAAATGGTGAAACATAATTGTGGATTAAAGTTTTGAAAGGTGTTTTTTATACATATAATTTAATATACATATATGTAATTATACAATAATTTTATACATGTTTCTTAAATATTGTTTGGTTATTGTTTATGTCGATTTTATCTCATATACAATCCCATTGTTGTCATATTAACACTAGATTTACGGACACTTGTTCTATTCTTTATTCTATTATTCCTAGAAGACTACATGGTTGTTTATATAGGTCGCAGAAATTAGTGTTTCAGGGACAGAGCATTATAAAGTGCATTCGCATAATAGTATCCGTCAAAATTAACTTAAACTGTTACTAAATAATGTTTAAAAATTTATCCATCAAATTGATGGGCTCCGTGAATCTAGTGTTAATAGGTGTTATACGAATTACTAGATATTATCAGCTAATTGGTTCTTTAAATTTATTCGACGGGGTAAATAAATATTTCACTTGAGAATGTTTAAATTTCTGGTTCAGTTATTTACGAATGGCTACTAATTGGTGTGTTATATTCAGTAACGCATGTAATTAGTATGAAAGTAGTAAATTACAGTTTTTGATGGGAGATTACGTTGATTTATCATGATTCAGAATTTTCCTCACGAAAGGGTAATAAATTTATTACTATTTTTCAGTCGTTCATGAAACTTCAAATTTTATATTGAAATTAGAATGGAAAATGAGAATATAAGTAAAGTAAATAATATGTATTAAATATAATTGTTACGTAGAAAGTACACGAACAAATGTGTGAGTCATTATACAAGGATAATAATTGATGAAGATTATTGACAGCTACTTTTGGAGTAATTCGTTTTGCAAGCGAAATTTTTAGAGCACGTAACATCTCCAGTTTGATGGACGGGGAAGATTTAATTAACAAATGGAGGAACGGAAAACAGTGTTTTTAATTAATTTATCTTACTAATATCTTCGTAGAGGAAGGTCTTTAAAGAGAACATCGTACCAACTGCAATTTTTTATGTGAATTCCTTGTAAAAGTTCATGTTATTTTTGAAAACTGATTTGAGAATATTAATGCATAAGATTTGACAAAAATATTTGTATATCTCACTAAACAGTTTTCATTGTAACATTTCTACGTTAGAAAAAACATTTCTTTTCATATACTAAAATACAAAATTAAATAGAAATCTTTATACATATTTGACAAAAATATTTGTATATCTCACTAAACGGTTTTCATTACAAAACATTTTTACTTTAGAAAAAACATTTCTTTTCGTATACTAAAATACAGAATTAGTTAGAAATCTTTATATAAATATAACTCGTAGTATAAGTATTTCTGTTCTTTTTTTCTTAATTGTTTATAGTACACTTACTAAATACTACGATTATAAAATTACATTCTATTCAAACTGCTCAGCGACATTAATGGTAAACAATCAAATTTGTATAAACTTTCGTGGTTCACCGTGATATTACCGAATTGCAACGCGAGTTTGCCAACAGCTGCAACTTCCGGTGCATTCACTTGAAAATGCCCAGAGAATCCTTGAAAAGCTGCCTTAATTCTCGTGTAGTTGGGTATTTCGTGTATTTCTACGTTGCCGTGAATAATTTTCTTGTTTCTGCGAGAACATGGTGAAATTGCCCAGCGGAATCCATTGTTCGGACAGTTTTACGTGAATTCGTGTTCTCGAGATGATAAATTGATGTGAAACATTTGCAGTATCACTGCTTCGAAGGCCGTGATTATTTCAGTTGACTGGCTGGGCTTTGAAAAGTAGCTTCCAACTTAGAGTTCACGGAAGTTCAGTCTCAGTTCACGTGACCCTGACCCAGCCCAGACCTACAGCAAAACCTAGACCAATCATTGCCATTAGACAACGGAACATAATGCGCTCGCAGCGATTAGAAACCTTTGAAAGATTAGAAAACAAGAAATTCAGTGGATTGGAATTCTGCTTTATTCTATATTCTCAATTTTACTTTCAGTTCGGTGAAAGCTGTTAATTTGCATAGTGTTTTATGGTTTAGTGGCTCGTCAAGTTGAGTTGCATTATTTTGAAATTGATGATCAGACGTTATTTTTGCTTCAAGAAATATTTAAAGGTTAATGAATCGAAACTATTATAATAATAATATAATAATAATGCTAATGATAATGAAAATTCATATAATATAACGTGTGTATATTAACTTTTACAATTTAACTTCTATAGTACTATTATAACTTTTGTAATTCTTATTTATTTTTTAATTTCACAATTGTATTTTAATTACTTCCTTGCAACTTTCTTTATTTATTTTTAATGTAATTATCTTTCATTGCAATTACCTTTTATTTCATCGTTTCCAAATATTATTTCAATCATTACTGATTTAAATTATTTTCACGCCTCGTTTCAATTATTACTCTCTTCAATTATCTTCATATTTTATTTCAATTACATTCACACCTTATTTCAATTATTATTCATTTCCATTACCCTCACTTCTCATTTCAATTATCGTTTATTTCCATTATCTCCACTCCGCATTGCAATTATTATCCATTTCAATTACCTTCACATCTCATTTCAATTATTATTCATTTCAATTACCTTCACACCTAATTCCAATTATTATTCATTCCAAACAAAACACTATCCAGCTCCGCGAAAAATCAAAAACTCTCAAAGCTCTTATTCAAAATCGATCTCGACCACCTCGATCCCCTGTTCACGCGAACAATTTTCTAAACCTACAATTTCTCTAACTGCCCGTCGAATCCAATCAAAATGCTCCTTTTTTGGCAGTGACTCTTGGCACAATGGCCTGTCCCGGGCCAATAAACCATCGGGGGGGCTAAAGTGAAAGTGAAGACCGCAGCTTTCAATGAAGTTTGCCCCTAGCCGCGGTGCCAACGAGACGTCGGAACCATTCTTGGCGAACGTAGTTTTCCGGGCACCGAGAAATTAAGTTTTCAACGGCGAGGTCACGTCGAATCTCCGTTTCGACGCTTTTAACGAATTTCGATACCGCTCGAAAATGTCTTCCGGTAATGGACCGCGCGCGTCTTCTCGCCAGGTGGCACGGCGAGCGCGAGATAACTCGACCAGCGACGCGACGTTTCAATTTCGCTTGACGACCATCGCCGTCGATCGGTCCCCTCGATCGACGGTTATTGATAGATCCCGACCGTCGATTACGAGACGACGGTAGATTCTTCGTTGTTCTTGGCCGAGGAATTTAACCCTTTGCGAACGAATGTCGACATTCTGGCGAGATGAAACGTTCATATTTGGAAGACCAAGTCGCAGGAAAATGATTTAATCACTCGGACAGCAAGAGATTAGCATGTAGTTTCTGTTATTGCTATTATTTAAGCTATAATTTAGCTTCATCTGTTGAAGGTTTTGTACATTTCAAAGAGTCTTCGTCCGCAAAGGGTTAACTCTCAGCGATCGTATTAACCCTTTGCACTCCGAATTTCTTTTGCATTTTTCCCTCGATAATTCTGTATTATTACGATATTTTATTTTAAATGCATTTGAGAAAATAGTTAGTTTGTAGAGAGCAGTTTAAATGATTCTTTTTACTAATAATATTTAAGATAACGTAGTAATATAATCTATTTTAAAAATATCTTGACAAAGAATCACGTCTGTGAATAAACCTGATGTCGAGTCACGCTTGATATAGGAGCGTAAAAGTAGCGTTAATCGTACGTGCAAATGAAGTTTATGAAAATTTAACCTAACTGCCATATTACGGAGAATTGCAAATTCGAAAATCCATTTCCTATTTATTCTGTATTAATCCCTTACACTCCGAGTTCCTTTCACGTTTGCTGTTCCATAATTCTGTATTGTTTTAACACTAGATCTACCGTGACAGTCAAAATGACTGGTTTCGATTGTTTTATTTTGCAAATATTGATATTTTAAACAGCATCGAATATTCGAAATGATCTTGAAAATTAATAGTTTCACTTGAATACTATAACGAATGTCTGGAGAAATTGAAAATAATTTATTGTTACAATTTTTATAGGGATTGCATAGTAATCCTATTAAATGCTCTATAGTTCCACTGTTTTACTTGAAATGTATTTCGAAAGACAATTAGTTCATAGCAAACAGCATAAACAATTAATTTTACCAATACTGTTAAAAATTTCTTCTTTCAAAGAAATCTACTGTCG